GGAAAGATTTTGGCCAATACGTGGTAATATCTGTAATGTATAGGGTTATTGTAGTATTCATTGACAGATCTCTTAGGGACAAGATAGAAGCTCTTAAATTACTTGTGGAATGTTTATTAAAACTATCTCTGGGGGCGCCTGGGTGGCTTAGTTGGTTAAACGTCCAACTCTTGATTTTGGCTCAGGTCATGATCTTGAAGTTCCATGGGATTGAGCCCTGTGTCGGGCTCTGTGCTGGCAGCACGGAACCTGCTTGGGATTCTCTCTGTCTGTCGTCTGTCTGTCTGTCTCTCTCCCCCTCTCCCCCCCTCCTTCCCTCTCTCTCTGCCCCACCCGTGCTCACTTGCTCACTCTCTCAAATAAAGTAAACATTTTTTAAAAAACCAGAACACTTTATCTGTGGAATAGTTATTTTAAATGGGGACAGGGAAGGCAATGTAGCCATCAACTGTTTTTACGGGGATTAATCTGCCCTAAGTAATAACTTGTATTAACAGTGTGGATTCTGTTGTAGGAAATTTTGGCCAATGACCTTGTCAATCCTTGGAGAGAGTAAAAAGGTATAGTAGATTTCAGTGTCCTCAGCAAATATGTTTTTCTTTGATGTGGGGTGTTCAAGATAGCAAAAAAATTCCATTTTACTTTGGTAGAATAGTACCCAAGCATGAGTTATTCACTGAAGAATTGTGCTGTGCCATTATTTTTTACTGTTACTGCAGAAGACAGCTTTCCTCTTTGATTTTCATAAATTCTCTTTTTGCAGGTTTTGCCAACCACAAAAGATGCTTGTTTTGCCTCAGCTGTAGAATGTCTACAGCAGATTAGGTAATCTCTTGTTTGCTGAAAATCACATAAATCAAAGTAGTAGTTAGTCTATTAAAATGTTAATGAGATCTTATCCTAACCTAAGCTCTAAGTGCTCCTTTCAGTCCTAGATGGTGTCACACTCAGCCTGGAGATCAGAAAAGGCTGTTTTGAGACATTTGGCTTACCTTTTACTCTACAAGTCCCTTGTATTTTCAAAAAAGGTGGAGAGCCTACCCAGAAATGTATCTACATAATCACATCTTTAGCCAAATGGAAATTAACCAAACTTAATTACTCAGAGAAGAGCATATATTAGAAAAATAAGATCCTGGGTAAAAGGAGATAATCTATGACTTAGTGAATTCTTCCATAAGAACCATAGATCATTGGAGGCTTCTTTTCTCAAAAAACTGTGGGATTACAGTGGTCATCCCTTCCAGCAACTCATTATGCCTGAAGTGTCCAATTTAAGGCACCCCAGGGGGGTATATTGTCAAACAATATTTAATATTAAGCAGTTCATAGGATTTTTTTTTTTTTTTTTTTTTTAAAAACAGCACGACATTTACCCCGTCAGACAAACTTAAGGTCATCCAGCAGACTTTTGAAGAGATCTCTCAGAGTGTCCTGGCATCACTTCAGGAAGACTTTTTATGGTCCATGGATGACTTGTTTCCGGTTTTCTTATATGTGGTGCTACGGGCCAGGTGACCAACCTTTTCTGACTTTATTACAGTGACTCATTTTAACAAGTGCTTTTTCTGAATTGATGACAGTAATATGCTCCCCTACTAGGAAAAAAAAATTCTGTTTACCCATTTCAGTATGGTGAGCTGTTCTTTATTTTCCCTCACATAGATTCAGAAGGAAGATATACATATAAATAGGAGTAACTCAGTATCTTTATCTTATTGGGCAGGATTAGGAATTTAGGCTCCGAGGTACACCTCATTGAGGATCTGATGGACCCGTATCTTCAGCATGGGGAACAGGGTATAATGTTCACCACCTTGAAGGTAAGTATAGGTGATATTTAATTTTTTTAATCTTAAAATCTGTCCTTAGTTTGCCATATTATGTATCTATCATTAATCATTGTCTTCTTTATACAGAGGTTTAATGCAATCATTAAATGCCTTTAGAGTACATATTGTTAATATTTTAAAATATACATTAAAAGTAGAATCAGTTCTTCTTCAAAATACTAAAGCACATTACCCAATCTTCCCTATAAATTGACCATTCAAATCATTTCAAGTGCTTATAAAGGTAGACCATCTTTATAAATGTAACTCTAGAAAAGAAATAGAAAGGATTCTTAGTGTCCAAAAGTATCTGGCACTAGTTATTTAATGGAAATGAGGTAAAACACAGAAGGCAATATGTATGTAATGAATATGAATTGTATCTTCTTTTTTCTCCATGTATTTACTGTAACCAGTGTGTTACAAATGAGATTCTCTAGTACGGGTAGTCTAGGGTTTGTTGGAAGTTATTTTAGTTCCCTACCTTGATTTTTCTTGGAATTTGGTAGAATAATTCTGTGTGTATATTGGAAGAACAACAAATTGAAAATGGCATAAACACTTCTGAAAAAAGGGATTAGACCCACTCTGCCAGTTAGTAAACTTTCATAAAAATACAATAATTAAGATAGTATGTTCCTGTTACAAGAATGGACATTACCTCTAATAGAAGGGATAGCTGTTGTAAAGGCAGTGTTATAATAAAAATTTCACATGTAAAAATGGAAACATCAGTACAAAAATAGAAAAGAAAGGAATTATTTAATAAATGCTTAAAATACTGGGATAGCTTATTACCTGTTTTGGAGGGAGGGTAGAATCAGGCCAGAATCACCTGCATTGCAAACTATAGATGCTTTTTGATTTTTAAGCAAAAGGAAGAGAGAAGGAAAGACAGGCAAATTAAAATGAGAAAAAGAAATTAGAACTTAATGTCAGGTTTCTAGCTTGGGTTAATTGAACTTTTCAACTGAAATACCATTAACATTTCTATTAAATTGAAAAGGGGGGTGGAATTGGGGAAAATAGTGGCCACCAATGATTTACATTATTAGTATTCATGTTCTATGAAGAGCATTTCTCATATATCACCAAGGGACAAACAACTAGTATATTTATATGTAGGAATATCCTCGACCTCACTGAGAATCAGAGTACTGTAGATTTAAACAAGGTGCCATTTTGTGCCTACTAAATTAGCAAAGATGTTTTAAAATTATACCCAGTGCTAGTAGGGGTATAGCGAAATCAGAATTATTCCCATATTGCTGATAATGGATTAAATAATAATCACCTTTGGAAAACTTTTGTTACTAACATTGATATCAGCCACATCAAAAATGTTCTCTGAGTTTGAGTAAACGCACTCCTGGGGATTTATTCTGAGGAATTAAAGAATGGACAACATTGTGTTTGCTTTGGCTGAGGTGTTCTTTGTAGTGTGAGTAACTCCCAACCTGGATACTTTCAGAATCACCTGGGAATGCTTCTTAAAAAGTTGTTGCTGAAAATTCTGACTCACTGGGTCTGGAATGATACTTAACCTTAATTTGCAGTTTCTTAAACTTACTAGATGATTCTGATTACAGTTGTTTGTGTACCTTATAATGATCAGCATATTCTAAATGTCTGATCAGTAGTGGCTTAGCCAATTAAGGTATTTCTACTCATTGAAGAATATTAAACAGCTTGTAAAAAGTTTGTTTTGAGAATTAGAAAGTGTGCAAAATTTTATCTCCACTAATTACAGCTAGGCAAAATAGACATTGGATATGGGGACTAGAAAACAGGGAAAAAGAAAGCAACCAACTGATTTGGTTGGAGCTATCAGTATTAAACAAAGATTTCCTTTCTTTAGTCTCCTGTGCATTGCTTTGTTTGTGTAATTTCTTTCCAAGTAAATTTTAAATTGTTTTGAACTTTTTTTCAGGCGTGTTACTACCAGATCCAGCGTGAGAAGCTTAACTAGGATGCAGAACAGCCTGACAACTGGATTATCTGTAGGGTGTTTAGCACCATCTGGCGTCTTCCTGTAGTGGCAAAAAAGAATGGTGTTCAAATTAGGACGTTGTATTATTTTGGTTGTTATCTCTGAGCCTTACTAATGGTGATAGCTCTGAGTCCAGAAAAAAGACTGTATGGTTTAAAGGGAGGAATGAAAAGGACATAGGATTCAATTAAACCAGTCCCTCGCCTATGTTAAATTCCCAAAATATCACACATTTACTGTTTGGAAAAAGAGGATATCCCTTCCTACAGTAAAGACTATGCCAGCTACATGAAGTCGTAAGAGAAGTTCTCAGTATAGCTTCTTACATTAAAGAAGTTAATAAATATTTTTGAGTTTCGGGTTGGCCTGCAGTTACCCCAGGCCCTTTTGCAAGGAGCAGATGGTACTTGAAACTATTGTAGCCACACTATGCCTTCCGGAATTCCTTGCAGTCACATGTGCATCATGCTTCTTTGCTGAAGGAGGGGGAAGAGGACCTTCTAAAACTGCAGTTTTAACTTTTTCTAAGCTTTTCCACTAGGTAGTGTTCATGATGGGAGAGGTTCTATGCAGTGACTATCGCACCCTGACCCCAAACATGGAACACATCTAAATAGGAGTCTTCTGCCTCCTGATTAGGAAGAACATAGGAAATTTGTTCTTCGATTCCTTACAGTGCTACAGAGTGAATACACTGGAATTCAAACACTGACTCTGAGCTGCTATGGAACCTCATTTGTCCATGTGCAAATGCTGTATTCCGAGGCCTGTGAATGAGAGCCTGAAGAGCTTTTGCATGTGGGCTGTGTTTTGGAGCAGGACTAAATTCTGGGAAATAGCATCCATCCTTGATCTAGCATTCTTCCCTCTACCTCGCACTGAACTCACAGAGGGGAAGAAAAAAGGAAACAAGCTTTGGCTTTTCCCATCTCAAAAGTATTGTAACACCTCAACATTTTAGTGTTTTGCTTTTTACCTTTTTTTTTTTTTAATGTCCTATTGTAAATGGTTGGTTTACACTGTACTAGTAACACTAGTAGTTGTTTTGAATAACATAGGTGCTCTTCCTCATCTCATCTCCTACACACCATGGTGAGCATACAGAGTGTCCTCCAGGTTTATGTTAACATCAGCAGATGTTAATCAGTTTTGAAAAAGGATCATGGTTTCTGCTCTACTTTATAATCAAGACGTGTTTATTAAAATACTGTTTTGGAATGTTGGCTGTAATGTAACAGCAATTTTCATAATAAAAGACATTCATCTCTATGAGGTTGTTTTATGATTGCAAAAGAAATAACACGGCATCCTAAAAAAAAATTTTTTTTTTAGTTTATTTATTTTGAGAGAGAGAGAGCTCACCAGCAGGGGAGGGCCAAAAAGAGAGGGGGACAGAGGATCCGAAACAGGCTCTGTGCTGACAGCAGAGAGCCCAATCTGGGGCTCAAACTCACGATGAGATCATGACCTGAGCTGAATGAAGTCAAATGCTCAAGCAACTGAGCCACCCAGGCATCCCAGGGCAGCCTAAAAACTTAAACCCAGCCTTAGTTTTTGTTTGTTTTTTACCCAAGTTGTAATTCATGACTCTTTGTATTGGCTACAGAGGTCCTTCTGGGGTTTTAGAGATCTCTCTCTTTAAAATGAACGTAAATTTATAATTATGATAACCACTTTTGCTGACCACAAATTGACTTTCTGATCCTAATACCCCAAGGGCGGGGGTCTTAAATCTATTATTTCTTTGAATAAAAGGCATATTTTGATTCTCACTGGTTATTTTGTTGTTGTTGTTTTTCTCCTAAACAGATTCGGGTAAGGGAAGAGAAGATGTTTAAAATTCTGGTTGGAAACATTAGGCATTAGTTAGCCCACCTCCCAGTTGTAATGTCTTCTCAAGAAGCCTGTCCATGTCACCGCTGCTCTGTCTCAGAAGGTGGCTACCCATTATTGGAAAAGGACCAACACTTGATTATGTTAAGCACTTTGCATTTCCATTAGGGATTGTTTTGATTTTGGAATAAACACACAGATTCCACATTTGGCTCTTAAAGGCAAATCTGCTGAAGGCCTTGACCCCTTAAGAGAGAGAGAGACAGGGATAGTTGTAGAAATGAACGAAGACTTGAGACCCACTGAGAAATTCTCAAAATTATGGTAGACTGGCTCAATTCTAAGAAAAACATGTTTCAAATCATCCTTTTATTGGAGTTTTGAGTGACACTGGCCAGTTACTTCATACTATATACCTTTTAGATAGCATATTTAAAACCATAAATTTTCAATTCTAAATCTCCAGGCCACCATTTCTAAATAGAAATACTAGCACTTGTGCGGCAATTTACAGATCTTTCACATGCGTGATGAATGCTCACGGCAGCCCTGTGAGGCAGGCATTAGCCCCGCTGATTTTGCAGACGAGGAGTGGCTGGGATTCACTCACTGCTAGAGCTGGGACTCTAGAACTTCCCTAACTTTAATTCCATGGCTCTTTCCTACTGCTGCTGCCAGAGATGGAATATCATAGCTTGGTTCTGCATTAAAACATCATAAAGTAAAAAATGAGTTGAAAGTGAAAACTTAAAATTAGGTGTGTAGGATAAAATATGGTATGCTCAAAACAGTCACAGATGTATCACATTCTCCGCTTGTATTTTCATCAACAGTGGAAAGCAAAGGGAAGCTACCCATTTAATTTCAAATAAAGGGACTGAAAAACCTCTGACAATGGCCATTTGGTCTTTATCCTCTGATGTCAGCAGTATACTTTCTTTCGTTTTTTTCTGGGATATCTGCTTCCCACCAACCCCTTGCTGCAATATAAAATTTTCAAATAAAGAAGTAACTCCAGTCTGAGATAGAGAATGGATAACTATTAAGTTCAGGACAGTCAGTTGGTAGGGAAGCTTCCAGAAGGAACTACTTTTTTATAGGCCTCATTATTATTGGCTAAACAGTCTTCCATCATTTTCTAAACATAACATGAGAAATCAGGTTAAATATCAGCTTACTCTCTGGTATCTCCACAGTTTTTTGTTTGTTTTTTTTTTTCTTTCATTAAAAATGCTATTGTCTGGGGGCACCTGGGTGGCTCAGTAAAGTGTCAGCCCAGGTCTTGATCTCTGGTTGGTGACTTCAGTCCCTGCATTGAAATCCATGCTGGGCGTGAAGCCTACTTACAAAAATAAGATGCTGTTGTGGGGTGTCTGTTATCGTGCTATAGTCAACAAAAATAAACTTTTTTGTGTTAACTGTGCTGGCATTTTGAGAGAGGGTATCAATGCGAAGGTTGAAAATGGTATGTTACACCTCTCAGTACAAGGAATGCTTAAAGATTTGTGACAGGGGAAGCTTAGGAGTAATTTAGTGGTTAGGCTGGGTTAGGCTTCTGTGGATTAAATCAAAGAGGATGTGCAGAGATTTTCTCTAGAACAGTGAGGTGACTTTGGCAGCTAATAGCCCACGAGTGTATTTTCTACCAAAGCGTTTCTCTGGAGAGGAGCAACGTTGGATGTTTGCAGTCTTACAGGTGAGAGACTCTGCCAAATGATTCTCGGTTACCAGAAGAGATCTATAAATGTCTGTGCTTCTGTTAATTTTTAATAACTAAGAAGAAAATTCTGGGTAATGTAATTCAAACAGTTTGGTTTCATTGTAACCCAAATCATATGGTGAATTCTGTGATTTTGAAAGAGCAGATTTTGCTTTGGGAAACCATGTCTTAAGTATGGAATAGTGAGTTGTCATGTAGACTGAGTAAAATTGAGCATTTGTCCTAGCGCTAGCCAACAGCATTTTGACCCTGGGGAAGCTGGGCCATTTTTGTACGGGCCATTACTTACAAAGTTTTCAAGTGCTTTCTCAGGTTTGGTCTACTAGGAAGCATTATTTTGAAAAATGAGCTTAATGGGGTAGAGGGAATGGCATTTAATAGTAATCACTGCATTTTTTCAGGTTCATGGAAATACTGATTTTTAAAGTAATATTTGAGGCAAATTCCTTATGAGTCAATAACACTAATGCAGCTTCTCAGTTAATAAGAACTGGTGCTCCTTCCTCTGTTACTTATTTAGTCTAGAATTGCGTATGGTTGGCTATTTACTTGCAGCCTCAATCAAGAATTCTCGTTCTCACGACAGCAGAAATAAGTAAGTTCTAACTACAAAGTTGGTCCAGAAGTCACGAAAAAGCGAGGGAGAAGCATTATGTAGTCTTTTGCAGGTTACTAGCATTTTTCAGGGCTAGTCCTGGAAACAAAAGAGGAAACCTTTTGATTTTACTACTTGTGAGCTCTACTGAATACCCCCTCTGAATGTCAGATTCCTCATCTGAAAAATGAAAGTTAACTTTGGATGATCTCCCAAGGTCTCGGCCCCCAATTTCAAAGTTTGGTAGGGGAAGAGGTTGAAGTCAATATAGCCAAGCTGAGGAAGAGAGGAAGGGGAGGCCTTTGGAGTCCAGCAGCTCCCACCTCAGGACTAACGTCCCAGCTGTTCTTGAACTGCTTGGGAAGGTATCAGCCTTGTACTTCCGTATTTTGGCCTCCTATTTTTCTGCTTCTCAACAACTGGAAATAACAGCCCAGGTGTTGTTACAGGTGCTGAGGCTTTAGCAGTGAACCAGAAAGCATTAGGTCCACTCTCCAGGCCCTCTGCAGACATGACCCACACAAGAGCGGGACACTGAACAGGTTAATGCGTAAGAGAATTGCAAAGCAGATTGTGAACTGAAGTGTCACAACAGTTTTTATAGCCATAAAGAGAGGGAAAACCATTTTCTGAGTTTTTTTCTATGAATTTTTGTCTTACCTTGGGCTAATACCAGGGACTGGGTGGTTTAAACAACAGAGATTTATTTTCCCACAGTTCTGGAGGCTGGAAATCTGAGATCAGGGTGCGATCATGGGCAGGTTCTGGTGAGACCCCTCTTCCTGGCTTGAAGATAGCCTCCTTCTCGCTGTGTCCATACCTGGCAGAGAGACTGACTGGAGAGCAAGCTCCCTGGTGTCTCTTTGTACAAGGGCATTAATGCCCTCATGGGGGCTTGTCTAAACCTAATCATCTACCAAAGGTCCCATCTCCAAATACCATCACAGTGGAGTTAGGGCTTCAACAGCTGAATTTGGGGGAACACAATTCGTCCATAGCAAATTTGTCTTGGGAACCTAGCAACGACCAGGCAAGCAACGTTTTTAGAATTCACCCAAGCTGTGGAGATGAAAATTACTGTTTATACCTCCATGAGTGAGGAGATTTTAGTCAACATGAGCTTTTTAGAATATATCAATTAGTTATCTGTGCAACACTGGAGTTAGATTTATTGGAAGCTTTCTTAATCAAACGACTACAGAAACCACAGTTTATTTGTAAATCTCCTTCACAGTAAGTTCATCTCAGGACTGCACTGTCTAGCACCCCCAGCTGCTGCATAGATAGGTCTAGTTTGGCACACTGTCTTTTGGGCATCAAATATGGAAGAAATGTGGTCCACCCTACATGAATAGCAGTTGGATTGTTAATCTGCGCTGCCTCTCTAAGGATATGTAATTTGTGAGGCACCCTTCGGGTAGCGTTTTCAGCAGTTGCCTGAATATGATGGCTTGGTGCCAGACCCATCTGTTTGCTCTGATTTTTCTCTGGAAGATGCTCCATCTTTCTTTTCAGTTCCCTACCCTAAACGTGCTCCCATCTTGGGAGGAAGGTGAGTCATACATGCACATGTTGAACTAAGTGATTCAATAGAGGCTCAAAAACTAGAATACAGGGAAAGGACAGGGTTTAACCTAACTCATTTGGGGCTGGGCAGGGTGGGTGATGGTGGGCGTGGCGAAACATGTTGATCTCAGGTTTTCTTAGAATCTAGCAAACTAGAATACTTGAGTGTGACTGGGAAAGAATGTGCATGGGAAAGTTGTCTAAAATCTCATAACAGCTTTCCGTGTTGCTGTTCTGTCTTGGAATTTAGAGACAACCTAATAATGATCTTTTTCTAGATGGCCTCCCTCGTTCAACCCCACAATGTCTAAACTCTGGACAGAAGTTCTCAACCACATCAGATGCAATATCCCAGTCTCTAACAACTAATTTGAAATCCTCCTTTAAAAGAATCCTGATTTACCCTTTATTCTCCTACTTTAGTAAATACTGTTGGTGCCCTACCCACATGCCCTTGGTCCTTACAATTTTGGTGCACTCCACGCCAACATCATTTTAATTTTTTAATTTATTTTTTTTTAGTAAGCGCCAGCTGGGGAGAGGAGCAGAGGGAGAGAGAGAGTTTTGTTTTTGTTTTTGTTTAATTTATTTATTTTGAGAGAGAGAGAGAGTGAGAGCACATGCATGAGTGGAGGAGGGGCAG